GCTATTATGTGCTTGACACGTGCTCTTCAAGCAATTCCCGGAGCAGCTGCAGCGGCAACAGGAGAACAAGGTTCCGTTAAGGTTGCTGGAATTGATGAGTTGGTGATGTTCACAGTCATTGCTGGAGTAGCTGCAATCGTTTTCTGGGAACTGTTGAAACGAGTGGGACGTATGTTCTGGAGCTGGTGCTGCAAGGCGACACGTGGACGAAAGGCCAAGCGGCTACGGGACATCGCTAAGTCAGCAGCGGAGCAAGAAGTGGATCGTGTATTCACACCCGCTCCAACGAGGACGACTCCACCAAGGGTGGAGCCAGAACGGAGCTATGCGGCACCGTCGAGTACGAGGTGGCTTCCTTCTTCTCTACAGTATACACAACGATCGATCGCGACTCAAACTGAAGACTGGGAAGTGACCTCAGCGCCTGTGATGACGCCTCCGAGGCAGATCCCGTCTATGGTTCAAGGAGATCACATGTACTGCTTGTATGACGGACCGTTTTACCGTACGGAGTATGGGGACACCGTACATACTTCAGCTTCATGTCAGGGTTTTCGTCGTGCAACACACCAGATCATGAGCTACCCTTTGTGCAATTTCTGCAGTCGCCGGGATCCTATCTACCAGAGGAGGGATCGGGACAACTTGGCGAGACGCCGATTGCGCTTCTCTAACAGTGGATGAGGTGTGTTCGACAACCTTTTGTGCTACCTTGGAGCTGTCAAGGCTTGATGCTTCTGACCGATCAGGGTGGTTCTGCATGCAGCTAGAAGTGGAGCTTCTAAGCAGCACTAGGGCTTTGACCCATACGATTCTACACATGTGACCAGCTGCTGAAGCGCAGTGGTCAAGGAGGAGTGTGGACACCTTTGTCTTGAGCTCTGATGCCGTTTGATGCGTCAAGCTCTCTGTACGCAAGAAGCACAAGCTAGGTTATGCCCTTCTCGGCAGAAGCCAGCGTCGTCAACATGCTTGTAAAGTTTGCATGAAGTTCGCAGCTTGATTACTTCGTTGCCTTGAGGAAATAAGCCTTCGCCTGTGGTTGCCCATGGATTTCCGATAAACTGGAACGATACTGAGAAGATCACTTAGCACCCTGGCTTAGCATCTGCAAGGCCAGCCGTTCATTCACAGGTTATGAGCGCCCAATCTACGGGTCAGCCTGCAACGCTGGACGGTGAAAGTGGAGGCCCGGACTACAGACGAGTAGAGGCTTTGGCGTCAGATTCTGGAGTTCAAGGGATTTCTGGAGTTGTGCTGAATGGTACTGGCCCTGGGGTTGCCGAGAACACGAGGAATGCGCCTTTAAGACAGGACAGTCAGGATGCGACAATGTCATCGAGGCCAGTTGCGAGCGCAACCGGACATGGCACGCCGTCGTATGGATCTGTCGAGCCTGCTGTTT